TTTTTTTTTTAGGACACATAGGCACTTGAGTGAGCAGGCGGCTCTGTAGAACCTATTAGAACCAGTCCATGGTCAGTGATCACCTTATCAGGAGAAAGTTACTGAAATCCGTCTCCTGTCCTATATTTGTGGCTTGTGGATGAGTGTCTGGAGGTAGATGAGCTGCAAATTGTTTTAATATTGCTTATCTTGAGGCCAATACTTATTTAGCTGCTGGAGGGGAAAAAAAAAACAAACCTTGTGGCTATTTAGAAGATAGTTTATTCCTTCAGAGCAATGGTCTTAGGCCCTACTTAGAATTTCGTACCTTACTGCCACAAAGAGTCTGTTCTGTCAGTCTTACAATCTCTATTTTAACATTAATACTGGTCAGTTGTTATGTCTAAACCATAAAAGGGAGGTGGTATAAGGAGGCATGTCTGACTTCCCATCCTATCATTGGCCAGGAACTCAGTTTTTTAAGATTCCTCTGGAATTCCCTGGGCCTAGTATACTGTTGGGGGGTTAGAATTTTATCCTTAGTTTATGTAAATATCAGTAAACTTATGTATGCTTTTCATTGTCAAAGATTTTATGGTTTTTAAGTTAAAAAGAAAAACACGTACTTCTGTAAACTCACATTATAGCAAAAAATAGTTTTAAAATAAAATTACTTTCTAAATGTTATAAATTGCCAGGTTATATTGATTTGATAAGTTTGTTTTTAAGAGAGCACAAGGCCCGTCATCATTTGAGCCCAGTTTCTTTAACGTGGTTGTGCAGCTGAGGTATTATTTTGAAATATTAACCTTTTCTACCTTGTTTTTCCTTCCCTTTTTTCTCCATTTCTTTGCCCCCACGGCAAGGCTTTGTTCTGTGACATTGCCTCAGCTAAGTACAAACAACAGGGGTGTCAGCAAACTTTTCATACTTTACTTTTTCAAAGCCCACAGACACTGAAAAGGACTAGGTGGTGAGAACAGAGACATCCAGTTACTGTATGATTCATAAAAACTAAGAACTGATCCCCTGTGCACCCTTTCTCAGACCCTTTTAATAACAAATCTTTCTCACTTGTGACAAAGAGAATGAGAAAAAGAAGGAGTGTAGGAAGAGTTCAGGCTAATTATTTTCCCACTAATCTGTCCTAGACGAGGTATGTAGAGATTTAGTTACAATAAACAAAAATAATAATATTGCTTCAAACCAGGGTCTGTTACATGAGGTTCATACTTACTACAATTATTTTCCCTATTTGTCTTAACAGTCTCCTACTCACCTTTCATTTTAAGCCATTGAAAACCGTACCAACTTTTCTCTTTAAATTTGCTTAAAAATGCAAATTCAGAAACTTAGTAGAGGACCAAGAAATTACACAGTTCAATTCCATTATTTGACGAATTATAACAAAAGCAAAAAAAAAAAAAAAAAAGGCAAAGATTAATTTATTTCCAAAGAGAGCACTCTGGAATTTAATAAACCACACTAGACAAAATCCACCACCTTTCTCTATAATGAAAAATCAAAGCTTGGCTTTTTTTTTTCTTCTTTTTTTAAAACTAGTGACTGCACTTTTAGACAGAGAAGGCAAAACTACTGTACAACTATTAAACCGCACGGAACAAAAACTCCCAGTACATTCTGGAATGATATCCTAGCCAATCTGGCTGGCAGCAAACTGACCCGACCAGAGCTGGAGTTGGTGCATAGTGTTTAGTTCTGCCCTGTTGAATGAAGATTCTTTGGGCAATTCTCCAATGAAAGAAGCTTAGACATAGGGGCGTGGTATCAAGGGGGCGGAGAATTTGATTCCGGATAATGGGAAGTGTGAGCTGATTGGCCAGGTTTCTAACCCTACGGACCCACTGTTTATGGACCTCAGACGTCGTCCATCAAAAGACCTCCACCAATCAGCGATGAAGATGGCAGCCCTCACGGGAAAGCCACGCCCTCCCATATATTACTCGGGAAGCCAGGCGCGGTCTCTTTGGCTCCGAGCTGACCCTGACGAGGGCCGGGTGATTTTCGCGGTGGTGCGGAGACCTCCACCCAGGACGGCTCCCCCTCCCCGGGCCTCTCTTCTCTTGCCTGCGAGTCCCCTTGCCTCGTAGGCCTCTCGGATCTGATCGTGGGGTGAGGTGAGAGCAGGCCCGGGGAGGGTGGTGACCGCTGAGGAGCCGCAGGCACTATCAAGGTGAGCTGGGCTGCAGGGTTGACCTTCGGTGCGCGTGGGGAGCAGAGCTAGGGGTGCGGGATGAGGGGTAGGTCTGGCCCGCGCCGTTTTCCTTGGTTAACTCTCCCTGAGTACAAGCCCAGGCTAGTCCGAGCCCGGAGGGGCGGAGCCGCATCCATCCTCCTGAGGTGTTCGAGTGTATTGCCCGCCCAGTCCCAGGAACTAGCCAGGGGCGATAGAATCGGACCCTTAAAGTTAGTGGTTCCAACACGGTCAACTCTAAAGATCCCAGGCCTTACTTTCTTTGAATTGGTGTAGAGAGGGACCGTCCGTGTACCCCGGGCTTAGTTTGTGCCCGGGACGTAGATGTGTTGTGCACACTTAAAAATGAAACTTGTAAGTTTGTCTTGCAGACTAAATTAGCAACCCCTGCCTCGCCCCACTACGGTGCTCCTTGGCATCTTTTAAGTTTCATTTCCTAACACCAATAAAAGCTAACTATTATTGAGCACTGTGCTATACTGTTTAAATCTTGTTTCATCGTCATAGCCATTCAGAGACAGATTTTACAAATGTAGAAATAAGATTAGTATTGTTAATGTTTACTCAAGTGCCTACTCTATGTGCTAATCTCTTTATGTGATTTCATTTAACCCACACAAATCTATGAGGTAAGTAATAACCTTATCCCCACTTTAAAGATGAGGAATTAAGTAAAATTAAGTAACTTCAACAGTTCACATTGTTAATAAATGGCAGACAGAATACATACTACCATCTGATTTCAAGTTTTGGTATCCTGTCTTACAATGTCTATTCATGGTTAACTATTAACAGTGAACATCTGAAACAGGTATTTCTTGAGGATTTACATTTTTTAAAAAAGGGATGGTTCCTGTCTGCTAGGAACTCACAATTTAGGCTGTGACCAACTTGTAGAAGAGAAATAACAGACACCACTTTGCAATTAATTGGAGGGAGACTTGTATTATATAAAGCACTTCTTGGCTCAGTACAAAGATGGCCAAGGAAAGTAGGAAGGACTACTCTCATACACTCCTTTCTGGGCTTTGTTCTATATATAGATGATTGAGGTACTGACAACAACTGACTCTCAGAATCTGCTACACCAGCTGAATGCCCTGTTGGAACAGGAGTCTAGATGTCAGCCAAAGGTCTGCGGCTTGAGACTAATTGAATCTGCACACGATAATGGCCTCAGAATGACTGCCAGACTCAGGGACTTTGAAGTGAAAGATCTTCTTAGTCTAACTCAATTCTTTGGCTTCGACACGGAGTCATTTTCTCTAGCTGTGAATTTACTGGACAGATTCCTGTCTAAAATGAAGGTATGTTTAAGGCATTAACCTGAGTATTTCTTTATTTTGTTTAAAGGACATGGAATTGTCAGCTTTTTGGCTAATACTCATAAACTTGACCTTTTTGATTTTTAGCAAGTAGCCAAAACATGGTAATTTGGGGTACTATAGCATTAATATACTTCCTAATTATAATTAAGGGTGTTACATTATTTATTAGACTTAAGTTCTGAAATGAAAAATAGTCTAATATCAAATAATTGCAGAGGGGAGCTGGCTATTGTTTCTGATGGCTATGCCCACTTAACTGATGTTCTTAGATTTAAAGAAATTTATTAGAGGCAGAATGCTAGATTGTAGTTAAGAATTAAGAGATATTAATCACTACTCGTATACGTGAAATTCTAATTGTTTTAACCTTAGACTTGGGCAAGTCTTGCTTATGCGCACCATCTGCAGCTTCAGTGTGCATGCACTAGAGAAGAGTATTTTTTTTTGAAGGAGGAGCAATTAGTTCCCTGTGCTAGATAAATAACATGTTTGTAGCTTTCATAGCTTAAATGTTAACATACATCTGCCTTTTCAGTACATCTATAGCCACTGCAGGAAAATGAGATCATGTTTTCAATTAGAATGAAACTCATTTTAGTCCTCAGTACATAAAACAGTGCATTGTATGTATAAAAAGAACTCAATATTTTTTTGAATTGAGTGCCTCTAGAAATTTGTTCAGGCTCGGCGCCTGTGGCTCAAGTGGCTAAGGCGCCAGCCACATACACCTGAGGTGGCGGGTTCGAATCCCCAGCCCGGGCCCACCAAACAACAATCATGGCTGCAACCAAAAAATGGCCAGGCGTTGTGGCGGGCGCCTGTGGTCCCAGCTACTTGGGAGGCTGAGGCAGGAGACTCGCTTGAGCCCAGGAGTTGGAGGTTGCTGTGAGCGTGATGCCGTGGCACTCTACCCAGGGATAGGATAGCTTGAGGCTCCGTCTCAAAAAAAAAAAAAAAAAGAAACTTGTTCAACAGACTGATTAAGTAACTCTTTAGATACTTGTGTAGGCACTACCTTTGGAGCTATAAATGTTGCACAAATGAATATTATACAGCTGTCCCTCAAGTATAATATACTCTTATGTGGGACTAAGATGGCTGCATTCATGACCATGTAAGTCATAATAAAAGAAATCAAGCCTTTAAAGAGGCATAAGTATACTGCTAAAGGGGTTGAGAATAGATAAAAAGCTGCTTTTATTTTCTGTTCCTGAGATAGCGTCTCTGTCACCCTGTCTAGAGTACAGTGGCATTGTCATAGCTCACTACAAGTTCAAACTCCTGGGCTTGAGCAATCCTTCTGCCTCAGCCTCTCAAGTAGCTGGGACTACAGGGCCACACCCAGCTAATTTTTACTATTTTTGGCAGAGATAGGGTCCCACTCTTGGTCAGGCTGGTCCTGAACTCCTGTTTACTGTAGACATTCGTAAAATGATAAATAAATGGGAAAGACTGGTAACAGAAGTTTTCAGGCAAAAGTATAAAGTCTATGCTGTAGTATTTAAAAACTGTTCTATATATATGTTATTACAAAGAAAACAGCCTGGAAAAATACAATGTCCTGGAAAGAAGTTTTGTAAAGAAGCTATAAAATGTTTCAGTCCTCACATAAATTATTGACCAGTTAACTTATTTGGACAGACTGGAACACTGTGCTTACAATTCTGCAATAGTAAAAAATAGTTAAAAAGTTTTTTCTATGCTAAGCCAAACAAACATTATGCTGAAACTTAGTGCGATTACTCAAAAATTGGTTCCAGGTGGAATGCCTCCTAGGCTTAACAGGCTATTTAGGTATGAGTGGATCTTATTAAATCCATCACAGATGAGAAATACACTGCAAAGGTACATTTTCATAATGTTGGGTCTGAGTTCTAGATTGCACTTTATGTTTTATTAATGTTAATTGAAATAAAGTAGAGACGTGGGCTAATTGGGAATTTTTTTTTTACTATTTTTTTTTTTTTTAGGTACAACCCAAGCATCTTGGGTGTGTTGGACTGAGCTGCTTTTATCTGGCTGTGAAATCAATAGAAGAGGAAAGGAATGTCCCACTGGCAACTGACTTGATCCGAATAAGTCAGTATAGGTTCACAGTGTCAGACTTGATGAGAATGGAAAAGATCGTGTTGGAGAAGGTGTGTTGGAAAGTCAAAGCAACAACTGCCTTTCAATTTCTGCAACTCTATTACTCACTCATTCAAGAGAACTTACCATTTGAAAGGTATGTGACCTTTATTTTGAACAAAAGAGGTATAGAAATCAGAATGGTATTGTATAGATATTGCATAAAATCAATACCCTCATAGAATTCTAACCAAAATAAGTAAAATGATAGCTATGGCTTCTTTACTCTCTAGAATAAGCAAGAAAATTTTCAGTTCTCAATAGCTTCATGAAGGCTAATTCTTAGAAACGTACATTTCAACTTCCTACTAATCATCTAACACAAATTTATGTAATTTTTATATGAAGCTGAGTGGTGCCTCATACCTGTAATCCTAGCACTCTGGGAGGCCATGGTGGGTGGATTGCCTGAGCTCACAGGTTCAAGACCAGCCTGGGCCAGAGGGAGAGGCACCCCCCACCCCAATCTCTAAAAAAAAAGAAAAATAGCAGGGTGTTGTGGCAGGTGCCAATAGTCCCAACTACTTGGGAGGCTGAGCCCAAGAGTTTGAAGGTCTCCGTGAGCTATGAGCCATGGCACTTTACGGAGGACAACAAAGTGAGACTATGTCTCAAAAAAAAAAAAAAAGAGGATCTTTGTAGATGCAGGAATAGATTTAGTAAAAGGAAAAGAGAATAAATCTTGACATTTGTGGCATGTCACTGTTCGTTTTATTTTCTTGGCCCAAATCATTTAAAATTAACATATGGTACATTGAAGAAGTTAATGGCTCTGATGGAAGGGAATTCCTTTACTATTCGCTTTCTATGATAAATGTGCATAAGCTTCACGTTAAAAATTGACTTCAATATTTTTCTAAAAATGTCTTTTATAGATGTAATGTTATCTACATATAAATCCCATTTTCTTTTTAAAGGAAAAATAGCCTTAATTTTGAAAGACTAGAAGCTCAACTTAAAGCATGTCATTGCAGGATCATGTTTTCTAAAGCAAAGGTAAATATTTTATATAAAGATTAAGCCTATTTATATAGACCTGTTTTTATACTTTGCATTTACTTTAACATTATCTCTTTTAGCCTTCTGTGTTGGCATTGTCTATCATTGCATTGGAGATCCAAGCACAGAAGTGTGTAGAATTAACAGAAGGAGTAGAATGTCTTCAGAAACATTCCAAGGTATGTCAAGGTCACAGCCTAAATCTTATTAACAGCTGTAAAAGAAACTAAACCACTGGTACTATCTTATGAAATAAAATGAAATGTCATGTTTATTTGAAACTTAAGTAGCTATCCTCAAGTTTTGTTGATGAGGAAAGGCCTGTTAACAAATTTGCATTTATTACCATAATTAAATATGGTAGGGCTTTTGTTTTAATTGAGCATTAATTCTTAACCATTTATACACAGATAAATGGCAGAGATTTGGTCTTCTGGCAAGAGCTTGTATCCAAGTGTTTAACTGAATATTCATCAAACAAGTGTTCCAAACCAAATGTTCAGAAGTTGAAATGGATTGTTTCTGGGCGAACTGCACGGCAACTGAAGCATAGTTACTACAGAATAAGCCACCTCCCAACAATTCCTGAAATGGTTCCCTAACTGGTAAATTTGGTTCACTGTTACTCTCCAGATACAGAAAATTTTCTAATGCTGTAATTTTCTGTTATAATTAAAGATTTAAACTATTATATTCAAAATAAAATGGAGTTGGAATAGCAAAGGGGAAAATTACTTCACTGATCTAGTCAGCTAATATTTGAAGTTTGTTACATAAAAGGTACAACACTTTAAGAGTAAGGGATTATCCAATCTCTGATATGTATGTTAGCCATTTCATTAGATTTTCAGTTTAGGAAACACATCCTCCTTAATAGCCTGAACTTTAACAGTATTACTAGTGTTTTTTTACTGCATATCTTATTGTATGTAATCCCAAACTCTGGCTCATTTAAAGTTACATGGGCCAAGGAGGACAATAGGACCAAAAGTTTGAACCGTATATGAACTGATTTGAGACTATTGGCTTCTAAGTAAAATCAATACGTACTTAAAAAAATAACATATGGCAGATGATCTCCAGATTGGTGTCTGGAAACTACCAGAGTATCTCAATACTATAATACATCACTGCTGTAGCAGTTGGACCACTAGAAAGTAATTATATGCATAAACATGTAAACTTGGTTGCTGAATATATGATATACATTCTTACCATCTAAATTTAACTCATAGTAAGATTTATTTTTTCCTACTCAAAACTAAAAGTTAACATGATTATCGATGTTATGGTATGGACTGTTCAATTTTGTTGTCTTAGGCAGACTTCTAATAAGTTGAGTTTTTTTTTTATTTAAATAAGCTTATTACAACAACAAAAACCTCCTTTGAAGTCTTTCTCCACCAGATCTATGGATTCCATAGTGTTATAATGGATTTAAGCTATGAAGTCTCCAAACATCACAACTAGATTAGCATAATGTTCTCAGACTTGGGAAAGCTGCCTAATTAATATTATGCTGTAGTGGAATCATGTTTAGATTCGAATTCATCTGTGACGCATTCAGATCAAAGCTAAAATAGCATAAATGTGAAATACTAATGGCATGCCTGGGAAGGTAAACTGTGAATCTTCATTTCTAACATTGATCTAACTTTCTGTACTAGATCAATGTACTGTATTTAGTTGGTATTGTAAATGGTAACCTATTTTAAATGTTAAATTTTGAGGTTTACATCAAAACCAACATTTCACAAATGCACTTTTAAGACATAATAAGGGTTAAAAGTCTAGGCAGTGTAAATGGTTTCTTGACACCCATAATGCAAGTAATAGGTAA